ACACGCACACGCACACGCACACGCACACGCACACGCACACACACACACACACACACTCACACTCACACACACACACACGCACAATATATATATATATATGTGAATACCTATGCGTTACTAACACTTACCGGGTGAAATAAGTTTCGATCGTCACTCGAGACTCGTTGTTTCTCAGAGTCGTTCGGATATGCAAGGTCACTCCTCGGAATTCCGGATCGAGCTTATTGATGCTCTTCCTCGGCGTTGACCGTTTGCGCTTCTCGCCTGACCCCACGCCGCTAGATGTCGCCTGTGTAGCTCTCGCCTCCTCCTCCCTCCCGTTGCTCGCCTCCAGAGACGCTGTGGCGTTCGCAGCGCCATCTGTAGTGATGGCGACGCCCACATCGCTGCTCTCTTGGCTGCTGCACGGGGACAGTTCACAGTCGGTCGACCGTTGCTCACTGTCGGTCAGCTGTTGCTCACAGTCGGTCGGCTGCAACTCACAGTCGGTCGGCTGCAACTCACAATCAGTCGGCTGCAACTCACAGTCGGTCGGCTGCTCTTGGCTTGCTTTCTCTACGACAGCATCGACGTCCTGTCTCAGAGACTCGCTGCTCGCGACGTATTCGCTCCTGTAAGCGCCGTACGTCGCCTGGATCTCGGCCTCGCGTCGCCAGTAGTGCTCGAAGCTGCCGACGTTGTCGCCGCGCGCGTAGTCGTAGCAGCTTCCCTCGCTGCTCGTAAGATCATCGAGAATACATCGAACGCCGTCCGAATAGTTCTCCACCACGCGGTCGTAACCGCTTGAGCAATCGAGCTGCACTGCTGAGGTGACGTAGGCAGCGGGAGAGTTGACAGAGTCGTCGCTAGCGTGTTTGCTCTGCCACGGAGACGGGAACAGCCACGGAAAGTCGTCGCCATCGTCGGTTCGGCCGTGCACGAGGTGGTTGGCTTCGCGGAGACACTCGGCGAGTCTGTAGCGCTCGGCCGTGAGAGAGAGCTCTCGGAGTAAACCACCAGAGTAGGCGTGGCCGTGAGGACTTGCTGAGTACTGCTGGTCGTCTCGCTCGGGCAGCGTGGGGTCGCCGCTAGATGGCGCAATGTGTCGCGGCAGCCCGCATCGTTGACTGCCGTTCGGCGTTGTTGGCTCGCGAAGATCTTGCTCCGGAGAGGCGTAGGCGTGCGATATTAGCATCTCACAGAGGCGACTGGTGCCCATCCGAGATTGCAACCTGTGTACAACAGTATTTGTTGTCGTTATTGACGAATTAAATATTAACAATTGGTGATATTTTTCCGATCCAGAAAATTATTGGATAATTATCGATGGGCATTTCGCCAAGACTCGAACAGTGGCATATTTCCATGTCTGCTGAATCGATATCAATCAATTAATCGATCGCGCGTATTATTGACTACCAAATTAGTACAATATTAGATTATCTTCCGGAACCACTGCGGTACGTGTGTGCAAGGTTTCACATTTCTGCATAAAAGTACACAATTCGTGCCCCTTTTCCGCCTTACTAAAATAGGCGTAGCCGCCTATTTGGCGGTCATCATGACCTCGAAAGCATATCCCGTCGTGATTGGCTAAGGTATATACGTCTGGCTTCTGTCGTTTCTCTGTTCCAAGGTCGGTGCTTGGACCAAGGAGGTTTGATCTAGACGCGATTGATCAAGAGCTCAATGACGAAAACATATTTTTACCTCGCAAGCATTTCCCGTGCCTGAAAAACAGCGGTCACCTCCGCTGTTTAACAAATGCGACGCGACAAGTAATAGGACCGCATCGGCATTCGAAAAGTTTTGCACATGCGCTTGCCACAATGTAGCATAATATTCTTTTTAGGAAGGATATTACGCTGTTTTGAAATGAAGTAATGCTCACGCTACTCTTTCTCTCTCGCTCTCTTTCTCTCTCTCTCTCTCTTCTGAGAGAGAGTAGGAGAGAGAAGAGAGAGAAGCAGAGAGTAGGGGGGGAGAGAGAAAGAAGAGAAGAGAGGGGAGAGTAGGGAGGGAGAGGAGAGAGGAGAGAGAGAGAGAGAGAGAAGCAGAGAGAGAGAGAGAGGGGGGTGGAGAGAGAGTAGAGAGGAGAGGAGAGAGAGAAAGAGAGAGAGAGCGAGAGAGAGAGAAAGCGAGAGAGAGAGAAGAGAGAGAGAGAGAGGAGAAAGAGATAGAAGAAGATTGAGAGAGCGGGAAGGAGTAGAGAGAGAGAGAGAGAGAGAGAAGAGAGAGAAAGAGAGAGAGAGAGATTAGGAGAGAGAAGAGAGGACGCCAGAGAGAGATGAGAGGCGAGAATAGAGAGAGAGAGGAGAGAGGAGACCAGAGAGAGAGAGAGAGAAACGAAGAGAGAGAGAGAGAGAGAAAAAGAGAGAGAGAGAGAGAGAGAGGTATAGAGAGAGGGGGGGGGGCGATTTACTAGGAGAGAGAGGCAGCAAATATCAACCGCAAAGAAGCGCAGTTTTCCTAGTACTGGTGCACGGGGCTCAACAAGTTGTGCTAGGAAGCGCTTAAAGGTCGTGTGGGATACGCAGGTCAGATTAGTTGCGCTTCGGTGAGTTTAACACTGTTGGTGTTTCGACAAGCTACAGACAATTTCAACGACAATATATGCTTAGCTTTGTAACCCACGTATGCGTGGTTCGCATTAACTATGATAGGAATAGCAACTGCGTGGCAGCATATACTGAGTTGATTATAGATATAAGAAATGCTAGCAGCATATCACGGGCTGCTAAAAAATGTCAGACGAAACGGGGTGAGCTCGTGTGCTTCGGGTGTCGTGGGTGGATTTTGGAAAGATGAAGACATCTTTCTTTCCCCGGGTTCAAGTCCCCAAGATCGTGAGGTGCTAAACAGCGATTAATGGTCCAGATGGCGGAGAATTCGAGGACGGGGTATGCCAGTAGGGCCGGACTCGCGCTGCAAAGCTAACGACGGTTTTGAGTAAGTTCAGCATTTCCTGCGATCGTTTTTTCCTACAGGGGATCGCGGCAAGGATGGGTTCTATAAAGGGTGGCGGATAGACGGTGGGGGTTCAACGGAGAGAGAGACGAGAGAGATGAAGAGTAGAGAGAGGAGGAGAACGACCGCTGAGAGAGAGAGAGTAGGAGGAGTAGAGAGACGAGAGAGAAAGAGAGGCGAGAGAGAGAGCGGAGAGAGAGAAGAGAGAGAGAGAGAGAGAGAGAGAGAAGGAAGAGAGAGAAGTAGAGAGAGGAGAGAGGAAGGAGAGAGAGAGAGCGACGAGAGAGGAGAGAGAGAGAGAGAGAGAGAGA